TCCGTCCCCCGCCGCCGCCGCCGTCGGGGCTGACCAGCGAGTAGGTGACTCGGCCGTTGCGGCCCAGGTCGGGGTCCGAGGCTCGCACGCGGAGAAGCGAGGCCCCCGCCGGGTTGTTCTCCGCCACGTAGGCGCTGTACGACGCTTCGTCGAAGAGCGGCGCGTTGTCGTTGACGTCCGAGACCTGGAGCCGGACGGTCTGGGTGGTGGCGAGCGGCGGAGCGCCCTTGTCCGTGGCCGTGACCGTGACGTTGTAGTCGGGGCTGCGCTCTCTGTCCAGGGCGCCGGCGGTCACCAGCTTGTAGTAGTTCTTGGAGGACGACACCAGCTTGAAGGGCAGGTTGTCCGGAATGCGGCAGGTGTATTCTCCGTTAGCCGTGGCGTCTGGATCACGAACTTTAATCAACGCGATCACAGTCCCCGGCTTTGAATCCTCGGGAATAGGGGTGGATATAGATGTGAATGTGACTTCTGGGGCATTATCGTTCTCGTCCAGAATTTGAATGTCGATCTTGCAGTGGGCAGAGAGACCGCCGCCATCCTGAGCTTCAATACCTATTGTATAAGTGCCTTTTTCTTCAAAATCGATAATGCCTTGAGTAGTAATTTTTCCCGTTTTAGTATCCAGATTAAATATTTGTCTTTCAGTGTCCAAAATATTGTTGAAGGAGTAGATGATTTCTGCATTTGAACTTTCATCCTTATCTGTTGCTTGCACCTGCAGCACTAAGGAGCCTTTTGGCAGATTTTCTTTCAGTTTGACCTGGTAGACCTCTTCAGCGAATACCGGGGGATTGTCATTGGCGTCAGTGACATTAATCCTAATCTGCGCAGTCCCAGTTCTAACTGGGTCTCCCCCATCCATCGCAGTCAGGATCAAGAGAAGGGAAGTGCGGTTTTCCCTGTCCAAAGATTTCTCCAATAATAGTTCCGCTTGTTTTTTACTATTCGGACTTTCCATCATCGACAGCAGAAAGTATGGGTTTTTAGTCAGATGGTAAGTCTGCAGTGAGTTGCTCCCCACATCTGAATCTCGCGCTGGTTCTAGTGGAAATCGAGCACCCGGCAATGTGGATTCAATTATTTCTAAATCGATGCTATTTTTATTAAAACACGGTGAATTGTCATTAACGTCTTGGATTTCAACATTCACATGCAATATGTTCAAAGGATTTTCAACCACGACTTCCAAGTTCAGGAAGCAAAGGGCTGCTTCCCCGCAGATGTCCTCTCGGTCTATCCGGTCACTCACATACAGGTTCCCGTTTTCGCCCTTCACAGTGAAGTATTGTCTTCCGGCAGCAGAGACAAGCCGGAGCCTGCGATCGGGCAGTTCTTTTACACTCAGCCCCAGATCCTTGGCGAGATTGCCCACGAGGGACCCTTTGGGCATTTCCTCGGCGATCGAATAGCGAATCTGCGCCGAGACCGCCCCGCAGAGCAGAGACAGCAAGAAGGGACAGAGCAGTACCTGCCGCTTGGTCGCCCGGCCGCTCTGTCTGAGCCCGCTTGCCATCTCAGTCCCTCTCCATCTTGGAGTTTCGCTGCCCTGTCTGCTCTGAATCGAATCGCACTTCCACATTTCCTCAGGCTGCAAGAATCCCTTTTTGAATTGCAAATAGAACCCAGCCGCCGCTGGGTTTTATACCTGCAATCCGAGAGATACACGGCGTCTCTGCTCCGTATCCTCCGAGATCTGCGCGGTGCGACTGAGCGATCGTAGCACTGAGGCTCTGATAGATCCCCGGCCCCAGCGCGGCTCCGTACTGGCCAACAGCGGCACTCAGAGTCTCCGCTGGAAAACTGCAGGCTCAATGATCGCGTCGAGAGGGGAAAAAAAAAAATCACTGGAGCCTGAAGAAGGCAAAGTGCTGTTTTCTTCGCCTCCTACTTGTCGAGAGGTAGGTATCAGACAGATGTGTGGATACTCCGCCAGCCACCGAAAACGGTTACAGAATAAATTGAAAATGTAAGTGCCATTATCATTTTTGGGACTAATAAGTATTCAACTCACATTTTCTTCGATTTCACTATAGCTAGTTTAGATCCCGTGAGAACAGTTGAAACGGACAGTTATCGTGGAGCTGGCATCATGCCTTGGATTCGTACTGGCACTTAAGTGTTTTTTGTTTGGCACTAAAATGTATTAGGGGCACTTGCTTCTGCAGTATGAGGTACACTATACCTGTGTTTCGGAGCCCTGGTTTGTTCTTTCTGCGCTCTTGAACGAATTAACTGTATTTTAGGAACCCATTCAGAAAAACTATTGTCCGCTTGAAACATGCCAGATTTCAGTCTGCAGCCTTTCTTCTATCCACTGGCAAGGCATGGCTCCGACTGTGAGAGGGGAGTTGGCTTTACTCCAGCCCATATAACTCATTTTGGGACGAGGAGATCCATTCGGGATCCTTGATGCAGAGGATGAAATCTGGCAGAGGACAATCATCTTGTGAAAGGCCCTCTCCTGTACAGCCACAAGATGCACGTGGAGATGCAGTAGTGCAGACAGCGGACAAAACTGTTATTAGTTGCTGCATGTTTCTCTGATGATTGAAGACTTCGGAGGAGCCCCCTATCACTGTGTAGATTAAGGACATTCAGTAGCCATGTGAGGAAGGCCATATTGTTTGGGTTGCAGAAAAAGCTTGCCCTGGTCCTTCAGCTCCAAAAGGGTCCAGAAAAGAGGGTCCAGAAGGGAGGTGCTAGCGCCATCTGGAAGCTTGCTACCACAGATTCTTATGGATTAGTAGATGCTAGTTTGGGACTGATAAACCAACTGTAGTGGTAGTGGTGATGGTAATGTAGTACAGGATATTTATCAGGCACTATTGGTTTAATTCATCTGTGGCTGGTATGGTTGGAAAACATCTCCCAAACAATAACCAGCTCTCACCAAATGGGTGAACTGTGGCAATTCTTTATCATTTGGATTGATACCCAGAACTCTCACTGGCTTCAAGTGGGTCATAAATTCACTCATGAATGCTAGAGATCTCTCTCCTTTACCCCTAACATAACCCCCCCCCCAAAAAAAAACCCACTTAGACCAACATTTTCAAGCTAGAACCTAAATATTCAGTTAGAAATAGACACGTGAGAGTTTCAGAAACGTCCACAGCCCCTTGATTTGTTTAGGATTTGTGCTGCTCAGCAGCTACAACAATGAGACCCCTAAAAGCCATGTCTGTGTCTAAATTTAATTATCCATGTTTAGAAAACTATGTTTTAATCTTTGTGCCCCATCCCGTGTCTTCAGTATAAAGTTCTGCCTGCAGAGCTGTGAGGGCTAGAGGAGAGAAGAGTTCATAGCCCCCTAGCAGAAATGCTTTTCCAGCAGAATTCACAAATGGATATAAGCCTCTTGGAATAAACCTTCTACCGGCAGAGCTTCTGCCTCTAGGAAAATATAAGGTAACTCCAGAAGCTGCCAAATTCCTGACACTAGAAATTCCTGCCACGGGCCACCTTACAGCTTCTCGGGTAGTTAGAGCAGTAGCAATACTACCTTTAGAGTAGCCATAACCTCAGTCGCTTCTGTCAAATGTGAATAATATACCTTTTTTTACCCCTGAGTATTATTAGTAAACTTAAATACTTAATACTATACAAAACTGAAAAATTACCTGGATTGCTGATTCTAGTGCCCCGAATTGTAGGTAACCAACTAGACCTTGTATCGAGAAGTGTCCACAAGAATATCCACTCTACTTCTAACACAAATATTGCAAGCTGCAAAACATACCCAGCCCTCTTCCAGAAACAGTCATTTAGAAACTCAGGACTTTGCAGACAAAAGACCAAAGACCTGAAAAACTGAAATATGCCACAGACAAAGAGCAGGAAAGACCAAGGCCAAGGCCTTAGGGTCCTTCAACTAGAGGGAAATTGCTAAATTAAATATATCTACAAGATTATAGAAAATGAACCACACCCCACCCTGCAAAGGCAGGAAAAGACCAAAACCAAACCAAATCAAATCTTAAACAGGGTGGGGGGAAGGAAGGATTCTAATTCAAAATCTGGTTGGGTCCATTACCTGTCTGCCATGCACATGGAGCTTCTTGGTAAAGAGGAACTATGTGAGTGCAAAATCGGATGATGATATTTTAACACATCAAGACTATAATATTTCAAGGTTATTTAAGTTTCAGAAAACATATTAAGTCTTATAATTGAAATCCAGGCCTAAGAGGTTCCTAAGAGGACTCTTTTTTAACATAAATTGATATTAAAGTTTCTCAGATAAATTATTGGGCCATCTAAATGTGAGGTGCTTCCTGGAGTTATTAACCTGTTGAGGTCTAACTGTAAGACATATGCTAGACAATACTTAGGACAAGAAATGTACCAAAATTAAAATACTTAAATTAGGACTCTAGGCTGTGTCATTTATAAAAAAAAAAAAAAAATCTGTTTTTGCAATGTGTAATAGATGTAAAAGTAAAAGTTAGACACTTTGTATTTTATTTACATGTGTATTCACTTTGTAGCATTAATAAATGATATTTATTTTTTGTTGAAACTAAACAATATTTTCACACATTTTATATAAATTTGATAGATTGCTTGGAATTCATAGAAAGCTCTCTACTCCATTTAATTGCTGAACTTTTAAGTCAAAATATGAAATTTAGTAGTAGACTACCTGGTTATGTGAAAGTATACATTTTACCAAGAAAGAAAGAAAGTTCCAGTTTCTACATAACACAACATTTAAAAAATGTATGTGCACTGAAATTAAGTGCGGCTCCAAGGGCAGATTTTTTTTTTTTGTAAAGCTAAGAAGTATACTTTCATCTCAACAATTAATTTAGTACTTATTATTTTCTTTTAAATAAAATAATATCATCATAAAACTGTAGAAAAGTAGGGCTGGAAGGGACCTCAGGTCATCTGCAGGTATCTGGGTTTTCCGTTTGCCATGGAAAAACACAGATTGTCTCCTTCAAAGAAGAAAAATATGGGAACCCTCCGGTTTACCCTTGCAGGCTGGCAGAGTTCTAGGCTACAAGGGGCTGCTTGGGGCTGGGGGGAGAAGGATGCAGGGGGTATCATATGCACGTATGCATATGCACACATCCATGTGGCCAGCAATGCAGCCAGACAGCAGTGGAGACTGGTTCCTTCAGCTGCCTGCAGGTAAGTCTATGGAGGGAGGGGCAGAGGTGATTGGTGGGGACAGGTAGTGGGGACGGGCAGGTAACGAGAGGGGTGGGTGGGAGGACAGACCAAGGTGGTAGCAGCCGTGGTGAAGGAGGGAGTGGGGCAAGGTTGGCACTTGGCAGTATGGACTGGGATTGGGGGTGCTGGACATTGTGCAGGGAGGGGGTGCAAATGAGTGGCTGCGGGGCCCGGCTGAAGGAGCAGGATGGAGCTGTGGGTGGCTTGTCCAGGGGGCTGGTGGGGGAGTGGCTCTTTGCAGCTCTGCACAGTCCTGGAGAGGGGTCAGGCATCAGAGGTGACATGTTGAGGGACATGTGGGGGGCACATGACCCTCCAGATTTGTGCACAAGGCAGGGGAAGGATACCTGCTGCCTGCCACCAGGCTTGGGGGTTCCTACCAGCTACCTTCCTCATGGGGGGCTTCTGTGGCCCAGGAGGAAGGACCCAGAGTGGGAGGATGGAGTGAAATGGCAAGGCTGGGTGCTGCCACTTGTGCCACCACCTCTAGGAGCCCCATGCCACTAAGACAAGGTGCCCCTGCCCACCAGGCAGCAGCAGAGGGACACAACTTTGTGCTGCCGCTGCTGCCTTCAACCTTTCTCCTGCTGGATGGGAAGGGGGCGGGGGCTTGTCATGGTGGCATGAATGGCCCAGGGATCCTGGTGGTGGTGGTAAAGGCACTGATTCTTGATGCCGTGCCCCACCTCACTGCATCTGCTAGGCCACTGAGGGATCCAGAGGGAGGCAGAAGTGCGGGGAGATCAAAGACCCACAGTGGACAGCCTACATTCTCCCCCATCCCCATGGCTCCA